CATGAGTTTAGAAGCTAGCTTGATGGGGACTATAGTATTGAAAGCTGAGCTATAGTCGATGAACAGCAGCCTTACATAATTCCTATTGCTGCTGTCAATGTGCATGAGGGAAGAGTGCAGGACATGAGAGATGGCATCTTCAGTAGATCTGTTGGGGCGATAGGCAAACTGAAGAGGGTCCAAAGTATCAGGGATGGAGGAGCAAATGTTGTTCTTTATAAGTTTCTCAAAGACCTTCATGGCTATTGACGTGAGGGCAACTGGACGATAGTCATTCAGGCAAGAGAGGTTATTGTTCTTAGGCACAGGGATGATGACAGATTTTTTAAAGGGGGTGGGAACCACCGAGGTAGCAAGGGACTCATTAAAGATGGATGTAAACAAACCAGCGAGCTGATCAGCACAGGACCTCAGAACACGCCCAGAAATCCCATCAGGACCTGCTGCTTTCCTGACCTTCACTCGCTTTAGGGCCCTCCGAACCTCGTCCTCTGACACAGTGATTACATGATTATCGCTGCTCTGTCTGCAGCTTCCTGACGTGCTGATCGGCAGAGTCGCGCTGCCTCGATTGCATTCAAAGCAGCTGTAGAAAGAGCTACCAATATTTCAGCAAAATTCCCTCCACACATTTTTTTTTGCAGATTTGATCGCTCGCTGCAGATGGTTCTCAGTCCCTGCCACATGCGTCGAGAGTCATTGAGCTGAAAATGAGACTCTATTCGTTCCCTGTATCGGAGTTTGGCGGCTCTTACCGCCCGTCGGAGATCATAGCACGATGCTTTTTATAAATTTTCATATTTATTATATTTATTATATTTCTTTTTATAAATAATACATTTTATTCAAATTAATTGCATTTATTAATTTCAAATAATCATATACATGCTATTGTTCAAAGGTTTGGGATTAATACGATTTTTGTTGAAAGAAATTAAAAGCTTTATTCAGCAAGGGCTCATTCAATTGATCAAAAGTAACAGTAAAGACATTTGGTTAATATTACAAATGATTTCTATTTGAAATAAATGCAGTTCTTTTGAATTTTGTATTCATTAAAGAATCCTAAAATATGCATATCGGGTTCCACAAAAATTTTAAGGAGCACAACTGTTTTCAACATTGATAATAATAAGAAATGTTTCTTGAGCAGCAAATCCGCATATTAGAATGATTTCAGAAGACACTGAAGACTGGAGTAATGATGCTGAAAATTCCGCTTTGCCATCACATGAATAAATTATATTTTGAAGTATATTAAAATGTATTTAAAAAAATGGGTAACACTTTCTATGAAGCCCGTATTTATAATACATTATAAGGGTATTCTAAAGGCATTATAATGAATGCATAATGCATTATAAAAAACCTTATAATATGTTGTATCATCTCATGAATATTCATAAGAACAGTTTTAATATATTATAATATTTACTTATTTGTGGTTATAGCTTTTAAGAGTATGATGATTTATAACACAATGAACACGTTGCATCCACTTTTACAATGCTTTATATTTCTCATAGTTATAATGTATTATAAGTCTCATATCTTGCCATTTTTCTTATGCTACTTTACTTAAAGCGGTCAAAGACCACTTATAAGTAATAATAATAATAATAAAAAATTCTCTCAAACAGCCATAAGATCAGATATCAGATCAGATGAATGTGTAATATGACACATTTGCTTTGAACTATTTTTATTGTAATATCAGTTTGATTAATTTGATGGTACTCTTTAAACAGCTGTTGATAAGTGACTCTGCAACTACATATCAACTAGCGGTCATTAGAGTATTAGTATGTCTGCTACTGTAAATATATGCTAACACTTTATTTTGATGGTCAACCAACAGATACACTGATTATAAGTGTCTTTGCAAGTACGTCAATTTATTCTACCTTACTAGATTCTGCCATTCTTGAGCATACTAATACTCTAATGAGAGTTAGTTGGCATGTAGTTGCAAAGTTGCTTATAGTCAATTGATTAAGGGGACCATCAAAATAAAATGTAACCATATAAAACATTGCATTTTTTTCAGTTGGAGTATAAAGCTCACATCAATTAATTAACATTAGCTCCACAGGAAACACTCAACATCTAACCACTCACAAGCTGTAGTAAGATACTGTGCAGATCTTAAATAAAGAATGCCAAGATATGATACAGTCCATTATACTGTAAATGAATTAGATTTAATATGGTGTTCATTGTGTGTTATAAATAATCATACTCTTAAACTTATAACCACAAATACGTAAGTATTATGATGTATTATAACTGTTGTTATGATTATTCATGAGTTGATATAACATATTATACGGTTTTTTATAATGCATTATGCATTCATTATAATGCCTTAAGAATACCCTTATAATGTATTATAAATACGGGCTTCATAGAAAGTGTTACCAAAAATTGTTTCACAATATTACTGTTTTTACTGCATTGTTGTTCTAATAAATGCTGCATAAGAGACAAAAACCCGTAATAAAATCTTACTGACACTAAACTGAACAGTATTTGCTGAGAAGTGCCTGCACATTAAGATAATTTTTAAGACATTTGTGTTGCATTTGATTAAATCATTAACAGACATTAGTATTTAAATTTTAAAATGTTATCAGATTATAATTCGTTTTTTTAAATTAGCTTTAAATTGACAGGTCTAGCATCAAATGGTTTGCATTTAGTTAGGACAAGAATTGTACACACTAACATGCACGCTTTTGCAGCACATCAAGTGCTCTTGGAAGCAGACGAAGGTCCAAGAAAATGTCACATTAAAGTGTTACTTGAGAAAGTCACACAGCATGGCAAGAGGTTTCAGTGTGGCTTGCAGTGAAATTTCAGAAGCAAGCCTTAGTGTGAACTCTTTGCAGGTACAGCAAGCACCTGAAGAGTAGCGTGACGTCAGCGTGATTCTTTGGGGTTTTAGAGTCGGCAGGAGGTGTTGGGGTTGACTGAGCTTCCTGTTCTAGTGCCTATATAGTATTTGATCAAACCCCTGACCTTAAGTATTAAACTTGGATGTGTAACACTTCTCATAATCTTTGCATTGGCAGGACGGCTCTCTCTACCATGTTCAGACACAGAAGTGCATTGAGGCAGTAGCCCGGACTGACACTGGGAACCCTGGCCCCGCTCTCCGGCCCTGCTCCGACTCGGCCTCCCAGAAGTGGTTGTTTGAAGAGAGAACATAGCAAAGGTTCTCTCTACACTCTTCACCTGCACTACAGTTCAATGGGCATTTCATATCAGCTGCTCTGACTTCACACCAGTTTATTGAGCATTTCAGTTCCTTAAGGATTAAGGATTGATAGTGCCTTCCTGTTATACGACGTGCACAGTACAGATAAATTAAAGAAAATACAGTATGTTTTAATGATATAACATATTAGATTTGAACATTTTTGGATAGTGTATTAAAATTCATCATTCATAATAGAGTTGTTCGGGTTTAATCCTAAAACCCTGAGAAGAATTTCCATTTTCATGCAATGAGTGTTCTCTAAAATTTTGAATGAGTTTTGGATTTTTGAGAAAAATAATGTATGTGTGCTATAACATAATCTGCTGTTCAAAAGTTTGAGGTCCGTAAGATTTCATTTTTGAAGAAAATATTATTTTTACTGAGCAAGGACGCATTAAATTGACCATAAGTGACAGTTAAGACATTTATAACGTTACACAAGATTTCTATTTCAAAGAGATTCTGTTCTTTTGAATCCTGAAAAAAAGCATGTTTTAAACATCATTCATCATATTTAGAATATTAGAATGATTTCTGAAGGTTCATGTGACACTGAATACTGAATATTCAGCTTTGCCATCATAGGAATAAATTAAATTTTAAAATAGAAAACAGTTATTTTAAATTGTAATATTATTTCACAATATTACTGATTTTTTATGCTGAGCATAAAAGACTAATTTGAAAAAAAAAAAAAAAATTTCTTACCAGTTCCAAATGTTTAAACAGTAGTGTATGTTGTATAATAAAATGTGAAAGTCTCCAAACCACAGACCTTATATTAATCATAAATCCAAAACTGCCATTCTTAAAGCCTGCAGGAAGTTCCTGAGGGAACCCGAGGTGAATTAGTCTTCCAGCTTGGCCTGCACATAGACGTCATTACTAAACACCTCCATTTCTCTGCAAGATATAAACACTGTATTTAAGCGCTCATCATAACCTCTGGGCCTCTCTGTTGCAATTGACAATCATTACCATTTTACAAGATGGTGATTTGAGTTATTTTAATCAGTCAGTGCTGCCAGCCCCATCTGCTGGTGTCTCATCCTCCCCTGCTATTCTGCAAAGTAGCTTCTATTTATTCAAATTCTTTGACATATTTAACTACTAGTGACTAGCATTTTTAAAAACTCCTCTGTATTCCGGTGCCTGATGTAAGTCAGATCTCGTTTGCACTTAGAGCGCTTTGGCAGCCTGGTGTGTGTGTATTTTTGGCTGAGTATCGAGGTTAGGCTCAGATGGCGCTGCTGCCGTTGTCTTTCCAACCACTAGATGGTGCCAAATTCTCCGTTTTATTCCATGTCCTGCTTTGTCCTCCATGACATGTTATAACATCAGCTCTTATTTACATGTGTGTAATTTCAGTAGACCACTATGCAGGGATTGAGATGCTGGGCTAGACTTTTTATACAGTTAAAAATGTACAGTGATTTTTACTTACATCTGAAAGCGTATGGCAGCCAACCTCTAGTCATTTACCTGCTGTAGAGAAAAGATTGTGGGATGAAACAGAGCTGGATGTCACAGCAAATACTAGATTGTAGTGGCCAACTCCTCTGTATTCCGGTGCCTGATGTAAGTCAGATCTCGTTTGCACTTAGAGCGCTTTGGCAGCCTGGTGTGTGTGTATTTTTGGCTGAGTATTGAGGTTAGGCTCAGATGGCGCTGCTGCCGTTGTCTTTCCAACCACTAGATGGTGCCAAATTCTCCGTTTTATTCCATGTCCTGCTTTGTCCTCCATGACATGTTATAACATCAGCTCTTATTTACATGTGTGTAATTTCAGTAGACCACTATGCAGGGATTGAGATGCTGGGCTAGACTTTTTATACAGTTAAAAATGTACAGTGATTTTTACTTACATCTGAAAGCGTATGGCAGCCAACCTCTAGTCATTTACCTGCTGTAGAGAAAAGATTGTGGGATGAAACAGAGCTGGATGTCACAGCAAATACTAGATTGTAGTGGCCAAATTGCTGTGGTTTTTGCTTCATATTTCCCTGAAGTTGTAGAGAAACAGTGTGGGTTAGTTAGTTTGAAGTATGTGGATATAAACCTTTAAATTCTGACCATCTGTGGGTCCGTTTCCTATGCTGAATGATTATTTCTGTAAGTCCTTTTATAATGAATTTATTTGATTAACTTGGCTTTCTCAGTTATTTATTACTTCAGGAATTGCTGGTGTCCTTAAAGATAGATTAGTCCCTAGATTTTTAGTCAAAAATGACCTTTCTGTCATTATTTACTCGCCCTCATGTTGTTCCAAGACTGTACGACTTTCTTCTGTGAAACACAAAAAAAGACAATTTGAAGAATGTTTATGCTGCTATTTTGCAAAAAAGGCACTTTAAAAATATAAAAGTAGTCCATAAAAGTCAGGAGCTATATTCTATATAGAAATCTAGTTTTATAAGTTGTTATTGGGTGAAAACCACCATTCACTTTCATTCTATGGAAAAGAGCAGCTTCTATGAATATCTCTTTTTGTGTTCCATAAAGAGAAATGTTTTTGAAAGACTTAAAGGTGAGTAAATGAAGACTTTTTAAAGACTTTTCGAATGTTTTAAGTGCCTCACACAGTGTTCAAAGAAGGACATTTTATTCCTAAAATATAAGTGAAAGGGAAGTTTTCTTGTTTGGTTTATGGAAGATATTTTTTGTATTAATTTATAAGGTGATGGGCCAACTAAACATTATCATGGGAAGAATTGGTTTACTGATCTGCTTCTCTGAGAGCATGTGACATGAGCTCAATACTGGACAGATGTTTCCAGGGCCTCCATAGATAAGAAGAGGATTGAGAGATTGATCATGTGATGATACAATTATGAGAACCCATTATGTTTGTGATGGTAGAGCTTTTCCGCAAAGGGCAAAGCCACAGAATTGACAATGGGTTTTCTTGAAGAGGTCAAAAACGAGGATATTCTGTATGGATGGCCTTAAGTCCTATTTAGACCACTGTGGCTATATGGTCCATTTTATCCTGGATATATCAAACACAAAGAATGATACATTCTCTATATAAATGTGGTTAAAGTTGGTGCATCAAACATGCAGAAAAATGAATGGCCAAAAAGTTGTGTGGTTGGTTACAGCAGTAGTTAATATGCACTTTTCTTGGAATAATGTTAATTTTTTATGTTAATTTTTAATTTTATGTTTAATTTTGCTGATGGTAGAATGTTGAAACGATGTTTTGAAATGGTATCAATGCTGGAAGAAAATTCAGGTAACTTTATACTGTGATGTAAGTGACCTTAACATCAGAAATAAAGGTATTCTTTTGAAAAAAATGCATTATTGTTAATAATGTCTAATATCTAACTTAAAGGTGCACTCAGTATTTGTTTTGTTGCGCTACACCATTTTATGTCATTCGCAGTCAGCAGCAATTAATTTATTAACGCGCAAGGCTTCTGAAATAAAGTTAGTAGTATTTAACTTGAACCAACCCACTCCATGTAAAATAAAACTGCTTTTATTTGGGTACTGATATGACTACAGGCTTCAACTCATGTCAGCATCTTTTTTTGTTTTTCATTTCTTTGTGCGAAAAAATTTATTGAGTGCACCTTTTAATTGTAATGACATTTTTTTCTAGATCTAAGAAGTTCCTTTAACTTATAATTGATTTCATATTTTAGTTTTTACACATTAAAGCCACTGAATAACATCCCAATGTGTGCCCGTCTTTCTTTACCAACAGCTGACAACCCCTGGCAATCTTTTTTTCCCGCCGTATTACACACTCCCACCACTTCACTGGGGTGTTACTTTTCCCATTTATAAAGCACTAATCTCGTTCACCCTCCGAATGCGTGTTTGTTCTTTCCATCCGTGTTGGAGTCGCAGCGAGACGATGGAGGTGTCATTGGCAGCCTATCTGATCGGCTTGAAGATGTGCAGCTGAGTATGAGAAAGCGCTCATGCCCCTCACTATGCACGCTGCCCCGCAGTCATTCTCAATTACTCATTCATGATGTGCGTCTGTTTGATATTTCATACTGTTTGTGGGCTTCTTTTGTATGGTGTCATCTGCCTCGCTCTCCGGGTGCAGGATGGGATTAGTTCGGAACACTCTGGCAGGCTTTAGGAAAACAGGGTCATGAAATGAAGCTCTGGAAGCCGTCAGATCACACCGGCTCTGCTGCCAGAGAGGTGTTAGATGTGCCTTCTGCATGAATCACTGTGGAGAACCTTATTTTCGTCTCGCTGCATCCGCACAACTTCTTTCTCTTCGGCAGCGGCGTCAGTGTCGGTCGGTGCACTGTAGTCATCGGCAAATGGGATTACGACCACGTCACTTTTTAGCTTTAGAAAAAGGCATTAAATATTAAAATGATCTCTGTGGAGAAAACGGCTCTCACCTCCTTGTGATGCGTTTTGGATCTTAGATATGAAGGCAGCTTGCTCGCCTACATCCCATGTGTTGCTTGACAAGGTCTCTCTGTATGCCGAGCTTCTCTTTTCAGAGATGAAAATAAGCTTGATTTGGCAAAGCGAGATGAGAGAGACACTGACAGATACACGCTATCGTTCTCTACACTGTCTGTTCGACTGGCTCGTGTTGTCAAAAAAATGACTGCACAGCCTGTGAACGGCTGATTTCACCGTATTCTCATTATTTCAGGTTTTTAGTGAGGTTATAGGGTGGATCATTCCAAAAGACCCTGATGCATTTGCGTTGTAAAGTCACGTGTCATTAATGTTCAACACTGTTTCAGGCGATGAAGCTTGTGAACCTTTTTCAAAATTTCTGGTGTGAAATATCATCCACTCAGGGGTTAAAAGTGACCTTAGCCCAGGGTTTAGTGTAGCGTGTAGTGTTTTTAAAGTCATGATGATTGTATTGACAGATTTATTCTATTCTGACTTATATTTGATTTTAAAAGTCTTTGTTAAAGAGATATAATCCATGAACCAAGCCAAACATCTATGAGGTGACAATATACCTCACAATATTACAAACTTTGATTTGAAGCAAAAAACTGACAAATGTATAAGACTGTACTTTAATGAGGGAAAGATCTACAATCCCACGAAGAATTGTGAATAACATAATCAAAATGAATAAATATTGATTTAAAGATGTTGATTGTATATAGAAGCAATATATTTTACAATAGTTACAATATATGCACATATACACTATATTTAAGGACTTTGAGAGTGTAGGGAGATTAACTCTCCGAATAGCTGACAATAGGACTTTAAAGTCTTTAAAGGCTTATTAGTTATTGTTAAAAATCAGTTTCCCTATGGAGAAAAAGAATGGGATTTTTACTTCTTGGATCCCAATTGTTGCACTTTTCAAATTATATATTTAATAATTTTATTATTATCCCTTGCATTATTATTATTGTTATTATCCCTACATTCATAAACTTTTATTTTATTTTCAAGAAACAAAATTGAAATGTAACCCTCATAGAATATTTCGCATATTCTTACTTTAGCCTTTAGCTGTGTAAATGCATTCATGCCACCTCTGCGCAGTCTGTGTAAAGACCAATGATAAACTATCCGACTACTGCAAATTAAACTGAATATGGGGCTTAAAAATGATCCAAGCTCTCTGTATCCTGCTACATGAGGTGTCCTGTGAACACATACAAAATGATTGACAAGGAGAGTGTACCTCAAACCATTTTCATTCACTGCTGTTCAGTTTTGTTTTTGCTGTAGTGGAGACAGTTGTTATATTTTAGGATGCATAATTCAGGGATCTCTGTCAATTAATAGGGATATTTTTGAGTGCCATTTCATTAAAAATCACTTATACAGAACCTGTAAATATCTGATTGATAGAACCTTCTTCTGGTTTCCTTGGTAACACTAAACAATAATTTAAAAAGTAACAGAAATGAATTCTGTTGCTTTTGTTTAATGATATGAAAAATATGATGGAGATGTGAAGGACATTAAAGGTAAGAGTGTAGTTGTATTGCAGCTATTATGTGTTTAGATCCAGGTTTGCTTTGTTGTGGCCTGCAGTAAGAGGTTATGCCTCCAAGCTTTTTGAAAATGACTATTGGGACTATTATGTATAATTTAACTCCCAATGGAGTTGCATCCTGTACAATCATTCCCCATTTTTCTTCTCTTTCTGGCTTTCTCCAGACACTTCATTAAATGGATGACTTATTATTTTAATTTGTTACACACTGTATTCATTTTCAGTCTTTTTGTACTTCTGCTTTCTTTCCAAATTTCCATGGAATTAGAATAATTTACATAATTCGTGTCTAAGCCGATGTTTTCATATGCTCCAGTTGCAGTGGCATATCACAAACAATTACCTCAACCGCAACTTCATTTAATTAGATTTATTTATGGACAATTGCTGTGACCTGTCTCAGCTGTTTGTTTCTCATCTCAAACTAGAGCTTGACATCCAAAGACATCTTTCATAGGATCCATATCATAGGATTTCACAGGAAACACTGCCATTACGGACACTGATGCCAGGCGATCTACAAGGGAAGGTAACTTTGAGGTGATAGAGAACTTGGCCTATTCTAGACACAGACTCTTGATGTGAATTGATTAGATTATTTGCAGTAAAACCTTGGGCACATCTGTGTGGAAGCTGCCTGCTGTTCCTCACAAAGTCACAGAAGCACAACTGAGAATCAAGCAGATTTGAAATTTTTATTTTGTCCTTTATTTATTGTTTGTCATTGAGGTATTCACTGAAGTACTAAGGTTGAATTATGCTAAAAATGTAAAGGGACCATATCAAGCGTGACCATTTTACACCCTATTTTTGATACTTAGAATTAAATAAACAAACTACATCTGTAAGACTTTAATTTAAACACCCTTGAGAACACGAGAACTTGCACTACAGTTCGAAAGTTTGGGACAGAATTTATATTTTAAACTTTCTTTCATTAAGGAATCTAGAGGAACAGCTGCTGGAAATGAAGCTTAATTTGCTATCACAGGAATAAATTACATTATAAAATGGATAGTTCCGGTCCTTGATTCTGATTGGCTGAGCCACGTTCGAAGCTGTTGTAAATTACTCTACAAACATACACCTTAGTTTACGTTTGTGTGTTGCTCTGCAACCACTTTGTTGGAACCACAACCGTTTCGGAGGAACTACATTGTTTGGTGGAAGAATACTGTTTTTATTAATATCATTACACTTTATTTGCTCTGTTTTATTTTGTGAAACCTTACTATGTATATGGAATTACCGTTTTATAAAAGCAGTAAGCAATTTATAACAGCTAAGGGGGTTTTAACAACGCCCCTTAGCTGTTATAAATTCACTGTAAACCACGGCTTCTTGGGATTTATTGCTTTATTTTAAGACATTAAAATAGAAAAACATTGTTTTATTATAAAAACATTTGTTGTATGTTTTTGATCAGATAAATGCTGCCTTGGGTCCAATATAGCATGTGCCGTCCTATCTCTGTCGGAGAAAATGGTAGCCTGCAAAAGCTGTCAATGGGGCGCTTTTCAAAAGGTACATCTTTGTAACTAAAGGGTCCATATTGCTACCTTTAAGGTACATATTAGGTACAAAAAGTGTACCTTTTGGAAAGGTACCATCTCAGTGACAGCTATTGTACCTTTTTTTCTGAGAGTGTTCAGTGACAGCCTCTTTGCAACCACTTTTTACTCTTTTTGTTAATTATTGTGGTGTTTAGGATTAATATCTATCATACTTCATCCTTATTACCTCTCAAATTCAGAAAGAGCTGTTTTTACAGTCTAGTGTTAGTAAATGCTCTTTTTGGACTGAGGAAAAGTGTTCAGTTCTTGAAGCTAGTTTTATGTCCAAAGTTGAGGAAAAATTCAATTTCTCCCAGTTTGACCCCTTTAAGCAGGAAAAAAAAATAGGTTTGTTAGGGTAAAGCTTTGACAGTCGTGTTGTTGTTAGAGTCTTTGTATTTCATCAGATTTATTGATTTACAGTGCAACTCGTATCCTTTCATACCATTTCAACTTGTAGAAAGGAAATTGTCTATGGCATGTAATCACATTGCCTGATGGGCAATCAGTCTTGGGAAAAGCATATATCTTAGATGTATCTACAGACTTGTTAAAGGTCAAAGCGAATTAAACCCATTTTTCACCATTTTTGTGTTCTTTCAAAAAATGTTTGACCTTTCATTTTAAATGCTGATTTTTTTCTTTTTTCACAGATTATTTGTCAACGTCTGTTAGTGTTCAAGGACAACTATAAACCATAACGTTTATTTGAAAACAGTTGAGGTCAGAAGAGACTTGCAAACTCTGCGAGGTTGCCGTCCAAAACCATGGAGAGACCTGGTGTTAAGCCCAGCTACTCTAAGATCCTCCCAAGGCTATGCACTGTCAACCTCAGGTTCTGCACTGGAATCAACCACCTTTCCAGAGACCTTCAAAGTCTGGGACTAAACGCTTGTTTTATCCAAACTGTGACGGCGACGAAAGTGGTTTGTGGGATCAAAAGGTACAAATGCTCAGGCTGTCTGTGCTACTACAATGAGCTTGAGCAGCTGATGACACACATAGAGCAGGGCTGGAGAGAAGGCTACAGCTGTAGAGTGTTCTACCGGAAGCTGAAGGACATGAAGGACTGCAGGGAGTTACTGGCCGCATATGAAGAAGAAGAAGCTGCAGCTTCTGAAAGCAACCTTCAACTCGGTGCCTCCTCGACTCTGAGGCAGAGCAGTAGAGATGAGAAGCTGGACATGGTCCTCAGTTGGCTGCAGGAGTGCATGTCAAGTTGCTGGCAATGATTTAATTAAAACATTTATGGCTGCATTTGTTGCAATTGCATACAGAAGAAATTTTGCTGAATGTCTTGATTTTTTCAATACAATGACAAAGAGGGACAGTGGCTGTGAAGCTCCAAAAAGAAGGGGCTGAATTGTTCCTTCTATTTATATAATAATAACTATATAATAATGATATGCATAAAGGACTCTTCAGAATAGGCCGTTTAGATTTCCGAATGAAACCCTTAATCAAGTTGCAAGGTTGCATCAAAACCAATACATTTCCACCACCACTTTATGTATTGTGATGCTGCATCAAAATGTAAAATTATTCAGCGACAATTACTTGCAGTGTAAACAATATTACAGTTTCCTATTTAGGATGAGTCTGAAAAGAGGAGAATCTGTCCATGATGACAGGGTGATGAGCAGAGTCAGAACACATATCACACTTGCATGGCAAAGTATGGAATCTGCTCGTCTTGCCATTCCAAAACGAATGCTCATGGCATTTCCTGTCAAGAATGTTTCATTCTGGGAGGGGAAAAAATCCAGTCGACACATTTGAAACAGCTCATGTCTGTTCATTACAGTCTATCTATCTATCTTATCTATCTATCTATTTTCCCCATCATTATATCTATTTTCTCATCCATCTATTAATCTATCCATAATTATATCTCATTTCCCCATCCATCAATTCATCCATCCATCCATCATTACATCGAATATTCCCATCTCATCCATCCATCATTATATCTGTCTAATTTTCCCATCCATCCATCCATCTGTCATTATATCTATTTTCCCCATCCATCCATCCATTATATCTGTCTAATTTACCCATCCATCCACCCATCCATCATTACATCTTATTTTTCCCATCCATTCATCCATCCATCCATCTGTCATTATATCTAATTTTCTCATCCATCTGTTAATCCATATTTATATCTATTTAATTTTCCCATCCATCCATAAATCCATCCATCTGTCATTATATCTAATTTTCCCATCCATCCATCCATCCATCCATCCATCCATCCATCCATTATATCTTATTTTTCCCATCCATCCATCATTATATCTGTCTAATTTTCCCATCCATCCATCCATAAATCCATCCATCCATCATTACATCTTATTTTCCCCATCCATCCATCATTATATCTAATTTCCCCATCCATCCATTCATCCATCCATCATTATATCTAATTTCCACATCCATCCATTCATCCATCCATCATTATATCTAATTTCCCCATCCATCTGTTAATCCATCTTTATATCTAATTTTCCCATCCACCCATCCATCATTATATCTAATTTTCTCATCCATCTGTTAATCTAATTTTCTCATCCATCTGTTAATCCATCTTTATATCTAATTTTCCCATCCATCCATCCATCATATCTAATTTTCCCATCCATCCATCCATCCATCCGTAATTATATCTTATTTTTTCCCATTCATCCATAATTAAATCTGTCTAATTTTCCCATCCATCCATCCATCCATCCATCATTTCTAATTTCTAACATATCTAATTTTCTCTTTCATGTCTTTAGAGGTGTTTTGTAAGGGAGACAGTTGCTTGCAGCAAACAAGACACGGGCGATAAAAGATATTTGTGATGGGTCAGGCAAAGAAAGAGGAGTATCCTCTGACAGTTTTTATTTTGTGGTGGAAGACTGAAGAGCAAGTGCTTTGAAAGCTGTTTTACAAAGAATTCATGTGTCACTCATAACTTGCACATGACAGCCACCTAAAAGATTTGAAGAGATCCACTGCTGACAGGCATGGTAGCATCACTGTAAAGCCCTCATCTATTTTTCCATCAGGAGTACAATCTCTTTGTTGTCGGATAGCATTGATTACATATTCTCTCTTTTTAAAATGTCAAGGATTCCTCAAATTCCAGGGGAGATACTGCTGAGACATCTGCATGTGCGCTAAACCCAATGTTTAGGTATCACTGCTACAGGGCATCCTGTCTTTCTCTGAAAGGACGGCTGGTGTTTCCTGCCACAATAGATTGGTCGGCTGTCTCTGCAGTAGGCGAGTAGGCTGTGAAGAGTTTGTGTGCAGGGGGTGCCGGTGTCTTGCCAAGACTCTGACCTTTTCAAAGAGGCAATCGATGAGGCCCAGCACCAGGGCTCCGGAACATTCACGCCTGTCAGGTGGGTGGGAGGAAGTTCATACAGACAGCGGTGGCGGGCTAATTGCTCGGGGTTGCTGGCGCCCCCACTGTTTTGGTGCAGGTGGTGAGGGTCTGTGTCCCTGTGGTGTCCACACCAACCTTAGGGGGGCTACAATTTCACACAAGTCTTGCCAAAGCATGCTTATCTCCATATGAGACCACACCTACAACCGACACTCTATTAGCAACGTAGCCATGTGCCACTACAAGAACAGATGCTTAAACTGTAGATTGAATAAGATTTCTGTACAAAATGTAAGTGGAAAACTCACTGTTGCTGTGCATCCAAAAGCACATACGGTCTCATAGGTAATACATTTGAATTAAACCTTACTTCGCAACAGTTAAAAAAAGTGTGGTCTAAGTACGAATATGGAAATCTGCATGTTCAACATCCACCAGCATCAGAATCACAAATCCTTTCCCGTGGCCTCAGGGGATAGTAAAGTGTCCATCAGATGCTGGAATCTTGCTGGAAGTAGTGGGTCATCCTTTTCTGACATACTAGCATCACATACTGTTTTTCGCTTAATATACTGTATACAGGTGCATCTCAATAAATTAGAATGTCGTGGAAAAGTTTTTTATTTATTTCAGTAATTCAACTCAAATTGTGAAACTCGTGTATTAAATAAATTCAATGCACACAGACTGAAGTAGTTTAAGTCTTTGGTTCTTTTAATTGTGATGATTTTGGCTCACATTTAACAAAAACCCACCAATTCACTATCTCAACAAATTAGAATATGGTGACATGCCAATCAGCTAATCAACTCAAAACACCTGCAAAGGTTTCCTGAGCCTTCAAAATGGTCTCTCAGTTTGGTTCACTAGGCTACACAATCATGGGGAAGACTGCTGATCTGACAGTTGTCCAGAAGACAATCATTGACACCCTTCACAAGGAGGGTAAGCCACAAACATTCATTGCCAAATAAGCTGGCTGTTCACAGAGTGCTGTATCCAAGCATGTTAACAGAAAGTTGAGGGGAAGGAAAAAGTGTGGAAGAAAAAGATGCACAACCAACCGAGAGAACCACAGCCTTATGAGGATTGTCAAGCAAAATCGATTCAAGAATTTGAGTGAACTTCACAAGGAATGGAGGTAAGTCAAGGCATCAAGAGCCACCATACACAGACGTGTCAAGGAATTTG